TCAATTTAAATTTAAATGAAACCAGTAAAATTTTAATAAAATATTATTTATTACAATATAAATTTAGACATAACTCAGTGGTACTCTTTTTTCACTAAAAGTAAAAAATTATAAATTTGAGTCGTATAACATGTGAATTAGGTGAGATAAGGGATTTGAGAGTGTTGCTTCTCATTGCACAACAATAATAAAAAAAAATTAAATATAATCTAAAATAACAATAGAGAACTAAAATTTGATTATATATCTTCAAATCTATGTACTATTAAAAAAAAACTAAATTCAATTAAATAATTAATAATAAAGAAAAAAATGTATAAAAAACAAATAATAAAAATAAATTAAACAATAGAATAAAAGTTTTTCAAAGAAGATATTTAAGTTTTTGAACTCATAGTTTCTCTAATCTTCTATTTTTGGTTGTTAAAAAGGGATAGTGATTGATATTATTATATCTATTTTAATATTTTAATATTTATGTTTTTGATTTATGATTCTTATCATGTTAAATTTAAAGTTTGAAATTAAAAAATTATCTATACAATAAATAAATAATATGACTTAAAAATCACTAATAGAAAGGTAAAAGAAAAAGAAAAAAAATCAAAATTTCAAGTTATAGGTATTCACCGTTACCTAAAAGTACAATAAAGGAAAAAAGTTGTTACTTGAGTGTGTGATATGTATTTTATTTAAGGTTTGTTTTTTATAGATTATGTGTGATTTTTTTATTTTTATTTTTAAAAATTATTATTATTATAAAAACATTAAGTATAATAAGTAAATTATTATTATATAAATATTAAGTATAATAAGTGTATATAAAATTTTAATTATATAAATATAAATAACATATTAATTAAATAAAATAATTAAACAAATCAGATAAATAATTTTAAACTCTTATATTTATTATTTGATTTAATATTTATAAATATATTATTTTTATATTTATTACTTACTTAATTTTTTATAATTTAAGTAAAATATTTATTTAAATAAATA